ATAAACATCGATTCGTACGAAAGCCTTACGACCCGAATCGGACGTTTGAGATTGAGAAGATGTGGTTCAACTCCTGCTTTGACAATCTTCGTCGCCTACGCACCAACATCGAGCTACGACGAGGAGGAACACGAAGCATTTTATATGGAATTGGAGAAGTTCTACAAGGGAAGATCATACCTTCTTCAAGGTCATCGTCGGCGACTTCAACGCTAAGATTGGCCCAAGAAGAACGGCTGAAGAACTTCACATCGGTACTCACGGAATGGAATGGAATGAGCAGGGTGAGAGACTGTCGGAGTTTATCATGTCGACCAACACATCCATGTAACTCACAGTTCCAAAAGCCCCCTCACCTTCGTTGGACTTGGGAGTCACCTGATGGACAGTTCCATAACGAGATAGACCACATCATCTTCAATCGAAGGTTTTGCCTGACCGACGTCGCTGTTGTTCCGAAGTTCTACACGGGATCGGACCATCGTCTCCTCCGCGCAAAGTTCCACTTTTCGATGCGTGTTGAGAGAGCCTCGAAGTTCAGGAAGCGAAGCCCCAGGACAGTCATCAACTGGGATCACTTCACTTCTCTTGTCTCTTATGGGAGGATTCCGTTATCGAGAACATCGACGAGGAATATCATCGGCTCGTTGAACACCTTCACGAGAGTGGCAGGAAGGCAGAGAGTTTACAAGTCACCAAAGGACGTCTGTCTACGGAAACTCTCGAGCTGATTCGCCAACGTGGAGCCGCACGAGCTGCAGGCAATCACCAACTCACGTCCGAGCTTGCGAAGCTATGCAGAGAGGCGATAAAGGAAGATCTCAAGGAGCGAAGAGCAGCAGTATTAGCTGAAGCAGCAGAGGCTGGGAGGAGCATCCGCAATGCCCGCCGAAGCTTTGCCAGCTACAAGACCAAGATGACCTGCCTCCGACGTCCGGATGGAACAGTTACTGCATCCCGAAGGGCAATGGAGAAAGTCATCCACGACTTCTACTCGGATCTCTTCGATAGCCATGTCCATCTGCCCACTTATCAACTGCAACAGGATGGATACGTCGTCCCCTCAGTACTCTCTTCCGAAGTCCGACACGCCATCAAGTCGGTGAAGAATCGTACAGCACCCGGTCTCGACAGGGTCAAACCGGAACATCTGAAGAATGCGCCGCCAGTCATCATCAAAACTCTGGCTCGACTCTTCACGCGCTACCTGTCGGAATGCAAGGTACCCACTCCGTGGAAAACCAGCAGGACCGTGTTGCTGTACAAAGAAGGGAGACCTGGACGACATTGGCAACTATCGCCCAATCTGCCTGCTGTCTGTAATCTACAAGCTATTCACTCGAGTCATCCTTAACAGGATCGGCAGAATACTAGATGAAGGACAGCCATGCGAGCAAGCAGGGTTTCGAAGAGGGTTCAGCACGATCGACCATATCCACACGGTTACAAGACTCATTGAAGTTTCACGAGAGTACAAGATGCCGCTTTGTCTCACGTTCATCGACTTGAAGAAGGCCTTCGACTCTGTGGAGACAGAAGCGGTCATCGAAGCCTTGGGCAACCAGGGCGTCCCTACTCAGTACATCAAGATTCTTCGTGAGCTCTACAGCAACTTTACGACCAGAATCTCACCATTCTACAAGGAGGTCATCATCGACGTCAAGAGAGGGGTTCGACAGGGCGACACCATCTCGCCCAAACTCTTCAGCGCCGCTCTCGAGAACGTCATGCGTCAACTGGAATGGGAAGACATGGGAGTGAAGGTCGACGGCCGGCAACTACACCACCTTCGTTTTGCTGACGACATCGTTCTTATAACGCCGAACATCGAGCAAGCGGAGCGAATGCTGGCTGATTTCGACTGCGCCTGTGGTAAGGTTCGGTCTACAGCTGAACCTAACGAAGACGATGTTTATGAGAAACGGATTGGTTCCTGATGCCCCATTCACGCTCAACGGAACGAACATCACCGAATGCTCCAGCTACGTGTACCTAGGTCGGGAAATCAATATGATGAACGATCTAGCTCCACGAACGAAATAACCAAATGCTACAGATATCGTCACATAGGTCGAAATCAATATGATGAACGATCTAGCTCCAGAGCTGAGCAGGAGGAAACGAGCGGCTTGGGGCGATACAAGAACATCGAGGGAGTAGTGAAGAAGACGAAGAACATCCGGCTCCGTGCCCACCTCTTCGATTCCGCTGTCCTTCCTGCCCTAACCTACGCCTCAGAGACTTGGACTCTGCGCAGGCAGGACGAGCATGCGGTCAGCGTTATCCAACGCGCTGTCGAGAGGACGATGCTAGGAGTAACCCTATACACGCAAGTGCAGAGGAATCCGAAGTTTCGAACTACGCCAACGTCGAAGATCAGGGACGCTGCCGTTTTCGCCAAGGAATCGAAGATAAGGTGGGCCGGACACGTCATGCGATTTTGCGATGACCGTTGGACCAGAGCGGTTACCGACTGGATCCCTCGGGACGTCAAACGAACACCTGGACGACCGCCGGCCCGATGGTCAGACTTCTTCACGAAAGCTCTGAACGAAAGGAATGAAGGACCGTGTCCCTCGAACGAGGAGGGTCTACTGGACAACTCTTGCACGCGACAGGGACGAATGGAGACGCTGGTGCCCGCTTGAGCAAATCGATGATCAACGGGAGGACATGTGATAAAGGGGAT